TTGGGTGTACCGACAGAGCGGTCAGCTCGGACACTCTTTTAGCCGAAGTCAAGGCAAGTAGCAATGCTGTCTTCCATGACAGTGCTTTCAGGAGGAGAGCTCCAGAGGCTCAAATGGTTCTGTGACCAGAGCCTCGAGCACCACGGCAGGTCCCACTGCGGGGCGGAGGCGTGCACTACTGGGCGCTGCCTCCTGACCCCCTGCAAAAAACCGCGTCATAAGCGGCTGACTGAAGGCTGACCTGCCTCCAAATCCCTCATGGCAGGACGAAATGGCTGCTGCATACACCTTAATTGTGGAATGAGCCAGCCCCCTGTCCACCAGTATCTGTAAGTAGGTAAGAATAGATCCCAGCGTGCACGACAGAGGCTCTAGACTCCTTCCTTCACACCATCGCCGGAATCCCGCCCACTTTGGCCTGTAACAAGCTGTGGTGGATTCTGCTCTTGCTGCTTGGATAGTCTGAATAACGTTATCAGACAGCCCCACCTGTCTCAGCCTGTCCCTGTCAGGAGCCAAGCCTGGAGAGGTTGGCCCAGAGTGGGTAACGCCCCTATTGCACCTTCTTCCTGAGACAGCGCTCCCCAGGACCTGAGGAATCGCTCAGGGCTGCCCACCATCATCTGTGTTACCCCCGCGGTACACGGCGCCAGGCGGCGATCTGGGTCACCAGGATGATTGACAGCTGTTCCCGCCTCACCCTCTCCAGGAGGGGGGGGGGATAATGTGCAGCGGTGGAGAAAGGCGGTAAAGCAGCTTTCTTGGCCATGGCTCGTGTGCAAATGTGTCGACCCCCAAGGGGCAGCTTGTCCCCACCGAGCCAGGGAGAACCACAGGGCACATTGGCTGTTGCGCCGATTGGCGAACAGGGTCCACCTCTGCTCTACCGAACTGAGTCCAGACCTGCTTCACCACCTCCGGGTGAAGCCTCCACTCGTCTGGCAGGGGTCCGCCTCTTGACATGAGGTCGGCCCCCCAGTTCTTCCCGTCCCGGGATGTGCAGGGCCTTAGAGGACAACACAATCTGTGAAACCCACAGCCACAGGTTTCTCTGCTGCGGTCAACAAGGCTATTGAGCGGACTCCGCCCTGCCTGTTGATGTATGCCACTGTGATGCGGTTGTCGCTCCTTACTAGCACATGTTTGCCCTGTATTAAGGGTTTGAAGTGCTGTAGGACCAACATCACTGCTTGCAGCTCCAGGAGGTTGCTGTGCCGCGCCTCTGCCAGAGGCCAGCAACCACCCACAGCTCTCTCTAGGCACGTCCCCCCCCATCCTGTCACTGAAGCGTCTGTGAAGACTGTGATATAGGAGGTTACCTGCCCCAGTGGAGCTCCCCTCCGCAGATTCTCTGGGGACCCCCAGAATCGGAGGTTGCTCTCTACTGAGGGGGGGGATGGTCACCAGACGTCGTTTGTGTCTTAAGATCTAAACGACGGCCGGTAAACCACCTCTGCATGCGACGTGCATGCAGCAGTCCGAGTGGCACTACGGAGTGAGCAGCCGTCATGAGACCCAAAGTCTGCATGATGATCAAAGCTGTCACCGTCGCCCCCTGACGCAGCCTGCAGACTGCCCGCAGCAGGGATGCCTGTCTGCTTTCTGTCAGGGTGGCACGTAGTCTGCCTGCATCGAGCATCACCCCCAGATATTCTACCTGCTGGTGAGGTATGGGGGAGCTCTTCTTCCAATTGACCGCAACTTATTTTCAACCCAACTTGGTTAGGCGTAGGATCAATTGGGCTGTGTGAAACATTGCCCATTCCCTGGACCTGGCCATGACTATGAAGTCGTCCAGATAAAAGAACACCCTCATGCCATGGTCCTGCAGCGGTTGCAGCGTCGTGGCTGAACGTGCGTGTGGGGATAGGTAGTAGCCGAACGGCAGTCTGTTGTACTCATAGGCTACCCCCTGGAAGGCAAAACGCAAATACTTTCTGTGCAATTTCGCCATGAAAGTAAGCGTTCTTCAGGTCGATGGTTGTGAACCAATCGCCTGGCTGCACCAGTCCCAGTAACTGTTTCATAGTTAACATATGGAACTTCTTGCATGCAATGTGCTGGTTCAGGCATTGAAGATCCAGAATGGGCCTGAATTCTCCTGTGTTCTGCGTAACCGACTGTTCTTGCTGCGGAGGTCCCTGAACGCACCGCGGCCACTCTCACGGGGGCCGCGCCTCATAATGGGTGTCCATTAACATCGTATGAAAACGGCCTTGCCGATCTCAACGAGACGTTATGGGAAAATGTGGAATTGTGGAGAGATATGACTCTTACTCTGGGATAAATGCAATAGTTTTTACTAAATGCATTTTTCACACACACATCACTCTAGAACTAGGGTTACTATATACGTAACCCACCGTTCTTGCAACAGGGCCTCTTTTCGACTTTCTGTTGAAAGGAAACCTATCTCCTCCCAGGATGATAGATTTGCCTCTCTATTGCCCCTGAATGGAGGAGGGACGCCGCAAAGCTGGAGTGAGTAACCCAGTCTCAGTGTCCTGCCCCTCTACTCTGTCAGTACAACAGCTGGGCTTCCATTCCCCACAAAACTGTGTTCAGGGGACATGCCAGCAGCTGTGGAGCCACAGCTAAGAAGCTGTAGTATTCTCTGGTGGCCTACTCCGCTGCCAAACCTTCCATAAAAGGGAGTTTTGGCATGGTGGCTGACACAGAAAAAGGGCCGATTTTCTACTGAGGTTCTTGAACGCACCGCGGCAGCTCCCGTGGGGCCGCGTCTCTGTCAAATGCCGTCTCTTTGAAACTGACATTATGGTGAAAAGTGGAAATGCGGAGAGAGATGACTCTTACTCTGGGATAAATGCAATCATTTTCACTGAATGCATTTCTCACACACACATCACTCTCTTGAACCCGCTCAGTGCTTTGACAGCACTACGGTTTATCCCACTCACATGCACGCGCCCACCTGCGTCTCCTATACTGGAGTTTACAGAGGGGCGGGAGTATGGGACAGTGTTCTTTCCTCTCAAATCAAATCAAATCAGGTTTTATTTATAAGCACATTTAAAAGCGATATTTGGTCGAGCCAAAGTGCTGTACATGTAATAAAAACACATTACTAACAAAACACAATAAACGACAATAATTACAACAGATATAACTTAAAAAAAACAAAATAAGAATAAAACACACGGAATAGTCAGGAGTCGTGCTCCGCTCTAACTAGAAAGCCAGAGAGAAGAAGTGTGTTTTTAGTTTTGATTTAAAACCCCTAGGGTCTGGGCCGACCTCACATGGAGGGGGCAGAGTGTTCCAGAGCCTAGGGCCAGCTGCTGCGAAGGCTCGGTGCCTTCGGGTTTTTAGCCTGGTCTTGGGCACTATCAGCAGCAGCTGGTCAGCAGACCTTAAAGCTCTGGCTGGGGTGTAGCGCTGGAGCAGTTCAGTTATATAGGCCGGAGCCAGCCCATTTATGGCTTTAAAAACAAATAAAGGATTTTAAAATCAATTCTGAAACCGAACTGGAAGCCAGTGTAGTGAGGCCAGAATAGGGGTGATGTGGTCGCGCTTTTTGTGACCAGTCAGCAAATGTGCAGCAGCGTTTTGGACTAGCTGTAAGCGTTTGATTGAGGTCTGGTCCATACCCACATACAGAGCGTTACAATAGTCCCTCTGGGGATGAGCAAGAAGCAGCCTACTCCTCACCCACGTGACCAAGGAGATCGATCCAAAGAGCCCTTCCGTAAACACGGGGGCTCCCAGGAGATCAACGCGGTCCTTTTTGGAAAGTGCCAGGCGGCGTGATCCCTCACCGGGATATCACACGGCAGACAACGGCGGCGGCCACGATCAAGCTACAAATAATCGCTCTGATCTGGTGAGGTGGGGGCATCTCCAGCAATGAGCGAGATGCCCAACACACCCGTGTTTATTTGCAGTCGCCTTGTCACGCGGTAGCGTGGCAGAGCTCTTTTCAGCTCCCTGCCCAGCCTGCTGCCCGCTGGGAGCAGCTGCGCTCCGCCGCCATGGTCATCACCTAGGGCGGTGGACCTCCATGGACCGAACCCGGAAGTGCCCGACAACGGCAAAGGGAGCCATCCGCCCTGCTGGAATGGCGAACGTGAATGGCACCGCCTCGGCCATATCCTGGTCCCCCAAACACTCTAACAGAGGTGGTGGAGATCGGTGCCCGTGATCAAACCAGGGCAGGTGGGGCATGGCCGAGATTCCAGTAATGGTGAGTCCATTGCATGATAGAGAGTAGTACCCATAGAGTCCAGTAGAGGGCGCAGCCTGTGTGAGATATAACCAGTTTGTTTAAAGTGTTGTCCGACCCCTCCTCTTGTCCAAAGTGTTTAGTTGTGAACGTCCACACTGGGAGGGGCAGTGAAACTCCATCTGAAAACTCAGGCTGTTCAGAAGCTGTTCCACCGTCTCACAAACACTTCTGATGGAGGATACTGAGCCTTCATCAAAGTCCCAACCAGGTCTTCTGCCAGGTGAACCCTAACCCCTGCTATGGTGCTGGAGGTGGAGCTGGGGGGGTAACGGGGGCTGGTGCAAGAACTGTCCCTAGGTCTTTCCTTTTCCTGATGAACAGCTGTTAGCCAGCTGCAGAGTCCAGTATCTATCCACACAGCCACGTTTCAGGAAGACCAGAATGAAGGATGGACAGAATCCTCTGGTTTTCAACAGTAGCTGGAAATAAATATTCCTGTAGTGCAAAGTTCCCGCTGACGCACAGGACCACCAGCCTGTTCCCCTGTCCTCCTTCACCCTGAGTGTGTCTCTGTGTGGACAGACATAATGTGAGCTAATGCTTCATGATTCCTCCACAGAGGGGACCAGGAGAGCTCGGAGGTTCCCGGTGGTCAGTCTGCCCAGCAGCATCAGACACAGCTGGACTCCATATTTACGGTGAGTACATGTACTACAG